CGCTGCCGGCGCCGCCCGGGAAAGGGCCGCATAAATGATCCGAAAACAGATCGGGAAAGTCCCCCGCCTGGTTGCTGACAAACTGCAGCATTTCTGAAAGAGAAAACAGAGAGATAAAGGTTATTCCATTCCGAGTGCAATCGTCACCTGCCATGGATTCAAACAGTGTGCACGCATGAAAGGGAATGCTGGGTGTTGGAAGACTTAAAAGAGAAAATATTACAGTAATATCTCCAGAGATAAATCAAAAGAGGCGCAGTACTGGGGCACCACTGCTACTATTCAGAGTGAAAAGCAAATTCTGCTATAATATTCTCCCAGACTAGAGGATGCAAGCAAAGACTAAAATTTGAAGCCATTGCCAGTTTATTTAAAATATTACAAATTAGGTCAACCAAAGAAGCAAGCAGGCAGCTCCATCATGTCAATGTTAGCTCTTCTTCCACATAGCTTTTAGGGAAGCAATTGTGGGGGGGGTGGGGAGGGAAGGAGAAATGGGGATAAAAAATAAAAAATAAAGTTAAGGTGAATTGTTATATTTTTTAAAAAAATTTAAGCTTACAGGAAAGTATGGAACAGAGAATTAAAAGAAAAACAAACTTTGAGAGTATTGGAAAACCCATGCTTCTGTTTTTTGAATTGTCAAAAAAAAATGAAAAGAAGTTATCGTATTCATCCCTTGCTTGTAACAACTACACAGTTTCTCCCTGACCCATCTTCCCTCAGATTTTATCAGATCCATTTCAAGAGGCTTCCACCACAAAGCTGTAACTGGCCCTCAGAGGGGGAAATTCCACCCCTAGGAGATCGTTGCTCATAAGGGAGGCAGCTGCACACCTTGGGCAACCCAAGTGCCTCCCTTGGTCTGCAGGGGGTGCCACATGTAACCCCTCCTCTAAAATCTGGTCACTCTACAGGGTCCCTTCCATAGATTTCTTGAAGTCCTATTCTTTTCCTATAATTCATAATAAAATGACAAGATACAAGTTAGAGAGTAGAAGACAGATGGATTTACAGGAAAAATGGGGCAAGTGGAGCATTTCAATGGAATCCTTTCCATCCGCTGGATTGCAGCAAATACAATGGCTATTCCCTATATGATTTAAGAGACTTAAACTCTCCATGAGATGTTTCAGTGGAAAGCATTCCAATAAAAACGCTATAACATTTGGCCTTTACACTGCACTCCACTTCTCCCAAGTGCCAGCCACACGTTACCCAATTAATGTGACTGGCACTGCAGAGAGGGCAGAGCAACCTTCGCCCAAGCTTCTTGCCCCTTTTACTACCGCCTTATATTCTGCTTCTTTAATTTTACCTTCATTCCTAAGGAATCTAGTCAAAGAGACAAGAAATTTGGGAAGGGATTGGTCCCCATGACCCACTTATAAGCTATGAAGACGCTGACATTGCTTTGCCCGCAAGAAACCTACTCCTCTCTGGTGACGGCCACCAGTTATCCTCAGAGACCTGCCTGATCAGCCCCTTGTCTCAGAGTTTAGCAAGACTAATGAAAGATTCGAGTGCAAAACCTCAGTAAACTATCACTAAACTTCACCAAAACAGGAAGGACAGTTTAAAGATTAACATTTCTGAATCATATCCAAAACAGATGTTAAGCTAGTCAACATTACAGCAGATTTTCACCCTCAAATTGATTGCAGCTAAGACCATTATAAACAACCCTCAGCATTATAAGCTTATGAATGCTAACGGTGATGTACCTTATTAAGCTTCTTGCCACCAGAAAAAAAGATATTAGATGACACTAATCCAAGTAAGAAGAAAAATTAAACAAGGCTTGCTCTAAAAGAGCAAATCCTAGTGATGGAGCTAAATTACAAGCCTTGAATTTTTAAAGAGCATCTTGTTTAAGATAACTTATTTCATATCTTCTTTAAAAAATGTATAAAAAGTTCAATCTCATCTTTTCAGAGACTGGCTAGATATAAAAAGTTCATTTGGAGATGAACTTTCAAAAATTAGACTATGTGGGATAAGAAACACTCAGAGTATCCAGTATTCCTACTAGTATCCTAGTACCAATACAAGGAAAATTAAAAGCTCCAGAAACAGCAAAAATTCAGTATCTCTCTCTCTCTGAAAACCCCTTTGGCAACACAAAGAGCAAACACAAACTATTAGAGTGCCTGGGTGCTTTTGGAGAATAGCCCCTGGGCATCCACTCGGCCATAAACCCATCATTTTCAGATCACCTGCTCCCTCTGCGCTGAGGAGAGGAACAAGATATTGCTGCCGAAAACAACTCTGCGCAAACCCAGAGCTAAAAAACGCCAACAAGATACGGCAAAAGCCAGTGCGGCCATCGCTTCTGGCCCTTCTTTCAGGGCCTGAGCACCTTGCAGGAGGGCGCTGCACTTCAGCTAAGCGCAAACACGTGCTGCACGTGCCAGGATCCCCGACGGCTCCCGCGCTGCTTTTCAGGGAAACTGGGGAGGAACAGGCTGAGCTGCAGATATCAGGCTTGAAAAGACACTTTGACCTGAACAGAAAACCAACAGCAAAACAAAAACAAAGCAACAACAAAAACTTTTCGACCATGACAAAATTAAACTCCCTAGGGTGAGGAAATACCGAAATTACATCAAGGATAATCTGGTTCTCAAGGATGTTTTTTCCACCAGGGATGTTTCTGCAGCCAGTCAGGCTGCAGTACTACAAAGTTTGGGGAAAAAAAGCTCAGCAGAATATGCCTCAGCTTCCATGCAGACCCTTAGAAGACATTATTTTGCACTCAGACAAGAATAACCATCTTTAATTTTCACCATGAAGCTCAGCAGTGATAATTAAGCCTCTGGCCTTTCCCCTAAACATTCTTTTATTGAACATATTACAAAGAAAAGAAATGGCCACCAATGGCTGCCAATTGCCCATAGCTACGCTGCAAATCAATTGCAATCAAACCTAAAATCACTACTTCAGTCCTATTTTCCACCTATGAAGCAAGGATGCTTTAGACACTTTTCTGCTGAAGGTCTGCTTTTCAGCCTACATCAGATAATTAATCCAACTATGGCTTTTACAGGTTTCTAGAAGCTGTTCAGAAACAAAATAAATAACACATCCCATCCAAGCTTTGCATTTCTGTGGAAAAGGGGTTTCTCTTCACTTATCTGACAGAAGTACTAGAACAATTTATGACGGCATACGGAAGAACGAGAAAAAATAATAGTTACATCTGCTTCATTTTCTGAATAAAGATGGAGAACAACCTCCTCTGGAAGACGCCAGTGGCAGCACAGTACAAACCATTTTTTAGAACAGACTTCCAAGTAACCTGTAAAAAAAGTAACTACAAAAAAAAAAAAGAGGAAAACAAGTGGGAAAAAAGATGTATCACTGCCTGTGGGAGGAAAAAAAAATAAAGGAAAAAAAAAGGAAAGCAACAGAATTTCTTTCCAATTTCTCATTTCTTTCCAATCCTTGGCCACTCTGCGGCCAAAGCGGGAGCAGGAAGCAGCGCGGGAGCTACGGGCACTCAGACAGGTGTCCCCTTTGGCGAGGGCTGTGTCGCTACGCTGCACATCGACTTTTTT